GCTTCTAAAAGTTCTCCAGCCACAAAGAATACTACAGTCAATAAAAAATATCCAGACTCTAAAATTTCTTCAGACACTAAGAATACTACAGTCACTACAGATTTTATTGCCTCTAAACCTTATCCCATCACTATGAATACTACAGCCATTAAAACATCTCCAGCCTCTAAAATTTTTCCTGACACTAAGAATACTAAAAGCACTAAAAATTCTCTAGATACTAAGAATGCATCACGAACTAAGAACTACACAGACCTCAAGAACACTTCACTCAGTAGGAATTCTCCAGCCAATAAGCTTTCTCCAACCACTATGGTATTTCCATTCACTAAGGTTTCTTTAACCACTAAAAATATCCAAGTTACTAGAAATGCTCCAACTAATGTGAACTCACCAGCTATTAAGGATTTTCCAACCATTACAAATTCTCCAGCCATTAAAAATTCTCCAGCTACTGAGAAATTGCCTGCTGTAAAGAACCTTCAAGCCACTGGAAATTCTCCATTCGGCAGCCCTTTATCACAGAGTAATATCCCAGAGACGAAGAGCACTCCACAAAGCGAGACCCCCTGCTTTCTGCCGAGTTCTTGCAGCCCCACCTTGATCTTAAGATGGTCAGATTTGCATTCTTCACTCTACAAAACATTAGACACATTACACACTAGAGATGCTCTGAATAGATGTAGCAACTCTCTGTGTAAGAGAAACTCTCCAATCAGGAAGTCTGTCCCAGACAAAAAGCTAAGAGCTGCAGCTGCCAGAACATTACATCTTAATAAAGGTGTAGTCACTGAGAGTTCTGCCGTCAATAAAAACTTATCTCGAAGGATTAGGCCACATCCTGTCCCAGGATCCCTGATAGATACAAATGTCAGTGAAATGAGCGGCACTGTGGCATCTGAGGGCATTGGGTCTGTGTCCATGAAGATAAATGAAACATCTGCTGCAACCAACAGATATATTACTGCATCTCAGGCTTCACTGGTCAATAGGTCTGAAGGGATCAATACACAAGCCTCTAAGAACAGTCCAGCCAAGACAGCATCATTAACTGCTATTAGTGCAGTATCATTAACTGGTACTAATATTCCAGTCCCAAATACTCTATTGTCTATTCATCCTCCATTGTTCTCTCCTGGGGCACTGTCAGTGAGCAGCTCTCCAGATACCCCGGTGCAACAAAGTCCTCTGGTCTCAACAGATGTGTCAGCCAGCAAGACTTCATTGGCTGGGAAAAACACAGCAGCAGGTAGCATCACTGTAACAAGGCGAAAGGCACTGAGGAACAAGCCAGTCTGTGACAATAATTCTCCCTGCCTCCCAGGGCTACCTGGTGACAGTCCTGTAATGCACAAGGCTGCAGCTGGCAAAGCGTTAGTTACAGCCAATCTGAATGGGAATGTTGCCCAAAGGAAAAGCACTCCAAACAAAGATACAGCAAACAGGAGCACTCTGGATATAGAAGTAACTGTGAAGGCTGTTGAGTGTGAGCATTCTCCATTCAAAATGTCTCCTAGACAGCAGGATCAGTCAGGACAGCTGTGTCCCGGGCCTCTGGGATTCTCCCAGACTGGAACAGCAGATTCCTCAGACTCAGCTGGAGCTCCCTCTATCTGTGAGAATCCCAGGAAACACACCCTTTCACCAGATGTTGAGACGCCTGCTCCTCTTGGCAGTGGCCAGCCAGGCTCACCTGAGCTGCTCCACGCAGTGCTGCACGCCATGGCTGGAGTGGTGGGCACACGTAAAGCTTTCTGTCAGACTGCCTGTGAGGGACTGCATTCTGGGACAGACAGACAGCATAACGTGGCCTCTCTCCTACATCACCCCTCGACCCCTGGCTGCCCTCAAACGCAGGGAGTTGCAGGTGGCACCCCGGCACAAGAGAAGGCAGTGGTAAGGGGAATTCAACAGGGGCTTTTCTGCAATTTCAAAATAAGTTTTGCCAAAGAGCTTATATGTGAGCACATTTCTAAGCCTACCTTCATACCTTCTCCCAATCGCATTTCATCCCTAATTCACCTTAAGTGAATGCTGTTCCTGGCATGTATGTTTCTAGGACCCACGTACAGTATAATGCAGAAGAACAGGGACATGGTTTGCCCCTCGTTCAGTTCAGTAAGGTGTGTTAAATGAGCACTTTCAGACAGCAGATCTGTGTGGAAGTCAGTAAATTGGTAGGCTCTCACAGAATCGCTGCTATACATTAAATTAATTGCACCATTATTTCTACTGATTACATGCTTAAATCATAGACCCATACTGAGAGTACTTTTTTAAAAAGGAATTCCCCAGCCTGAATATTGGATAACCAACTATTCTAACATTTTTTAGGTAGCAAGTCACTACTTCAACAATCTGCAATTCCTTCTAAAAGAAAAGGCTAAAGGGTAAGTTAAGACATTCATATTGTGGGCAGCTGCTGTAGTAAGAGGGACAGGTCTCGCTTCTGTCTAAGTTGGCGTGCTTTGTTAACAGTAATTTCTTAGTTTGCTTCCATGACACTACAGTGGCATGAGGGCTGGGATTGGGCTGTGATGTGCGTGCTGAATGGCACTCTGACAGTACAGAACCATTGAATAGTACAACCCCCAGCAGTTTCTAAATATTTCAGTGTGAAAGAGTTAGCTATTTTATTCATAAAATTAACACATTTGAGTGTTAGTGTATAGCTGAGTTTGTCATCAAGAGTACACATGTTGCCCAAAAACTGCAAACCTTGATTATGTGCATTACCTTTGCGCTTAGTATGAGTGTGTTGTTCATTGCCCAGACTATCGGCCTTAATGGCGTGTTCGTTGATGTGTGGAGCTGAGATACTGCTCAATGTGAATAGCTGTGTTAGGCCTCAGTGTGTGCCTGCAGTTCACTGCCCAAACCACAAGTATTGGAAGAGGAGAGGAAGCTGCAGAGGCTGATCCTGGAGCTACAGGAGGTCACCCAGGAGCAGGAGAGAGAGGGGAGCCAGGGGGACCATGACTTCACAGGGTAAGACAAAAACTCCCCAAAATCTTAAACCTGTTTTTCTGACAGTTGAATTTTTTTACTAGGATTTAGTATTTTGTATGCATTGTGTTTTGCAAGGTATGGACTCAGGAGAGATGGCATTCCTATAACAACTGAACGTTTTTATTCTTGTCTCTGCTTATCTGCTCCCTTTGTCTCAGTGCTCTATTTCCCTCTCCTTCTTCTTCTCTATCTCTTCTTCAGTTCTACCCCCTCTCTCCCCTCTTTTTCTTAATCTCTGTCATTCTCTCCTTTCTCGTCTCTCTTCCCATCACTGTAACTTTGTATCCCTCTCTCCGTCACTTTCCTAGATTCTCCTGATGGCCTTTCCACTTGTTCTTTCCTTTTCCGCTGCCTCCTTCAACACTGATCTCATGCTCGCTCTTTCTTCTCCTGTATTCACCCCTTTCTCTGTTTGGTTCTGTCTCTTCACTTTCCCACCCCCCCCTTTGCACCCCTTTTCTCTCTGGATCTCAATTAATTTCCCAAAGTGTGTCAAACAACTTTTCTGTTGTTTCCCAGAGTCTCCACAGAATTTTTCAGCCCTTGCAGAAAGACTGAGTCCACCCTGCCACCTCTACCCCCGGGGGAATCGGTCTTTACTCCCCTGCCCACCCGCAGCATCTTCAGCCAGTTACCTCTGTTACTACATCCCCAAACTCCAAGGGATCAGCAGAGTGGGGCCCTGGAGAAGCTGTTTTTCAGGTGCGCCACCTCTGAAATATCACCTTGGGAGCAGTATTCACAGCCCTGTCACATGAAATAGAGCAGCCTCAGCCTAAGAGAGCATGGGACCTATATTATTGTTGTCCTTATCTATCATGCAGACTCTGGTGCAGATAGTCATGCTGAAGGCCAGTTTCTATACCACCAGCATGGTAGTTCTGAGGGAAAGCTGGACAGTTCCAACATGTTTGGGAAAAGTAATTATGGAGTAGTTTTTTTATTGGTTTAGAGATATGGAGTTGTGTTATTTGTATAGGTGGAGATGTGGAGTTGTGTTGTTGGGTAAAGATGGAGATGTATAATTGTGTGATTGGTATTGGTGTTCATGTAGAACTGTGTGATTGGCTATGTGTGCAGATGTAGAGCTATATCACTGGGTAAAGGTGCAGGTGTAGAATTGTGTGATGGGGTATGTGTGCAGATGTAGAGCTGTATCATTGTTATTGGTAGAGGTATGCTGTTTTTCTCCTTGCTAGCTCCAGTCCCGCCCAGCAGCTCCAGATGGCTCAGTCTGGCCTCCTAAGGCAGTTGTGTCGCACTGTGCCCTGCTCCCCTGCTCTTGCTCGCTGGCTCTTCAAGGTACAGTATTCTCATCAATCAATCACTGCATCACAATGTGACCCATTTGCAAGGGATTGATGAAACTCATTTTAATTAAACAGAAATATTTCAAGTTTCAAGTTTCTTTCCATGTTTTTGTTTGAAAGACATAGAATGCAATTTCTAGAGGTGTCAGCATTTTATGTTTAGCCAAAAATGAGCAGATTCAGGTCCAAGAACTGAAGGTGGAATAAAAAAAGGAGAAAGGACTGGAGATCTCCGCTATATACTTGTGGTGGGAAACTTGTAGCTTGAGACAAATTTATATTCCATAGGTATTTCCTAAAACATAACCAACTTATTTTTGTGCCAGAAACGAAAATAAGTAAAATGAGTAAAAGTTTACTCATTAAAGGTATTTAAATGCTTAAATGCATTAAGGGTATTTCTGATTTGTAATTTGTTGCTAATTCTGTAGTTGGGGTTTTTCTGTGTTGCTTGAGGCGGCTTAAGAACAAGAGAGTGAATGTCCTTGAGTAGCCCAGGGAAAGTCTTGACTTTGAACTTGAGGACTTCAGTTCATCAATGATCCACAGCTGGAGTAATCGTACCAGGGATAATGGCAACAATTACACCATCACACTGTTCAAAGCTGGAAGAAACCAATCCATAAATCCTGAAAGCAGTAAGTGCTAGTTAAGCAGCTTGCACCAGGTCCTGACTGGGAACTGAATGATAAAGCAATACATTTAAATGAGTAGTTTTTCATGTGCTCATCCTCCTTCCAACAGTTTTAAATAAAAATATGAATCTGAAAAACTATTCACATTACCCTTAATTTATCAAAAGCAATACTATTGGCTACTGCCTTGGATTTATTGGATACTCTCTAGCCTGCTGCACTAGTACAGTGCCCCCTGTTGCATCAGATGCGGTACTGCTTACTGTCCACTGTGTGTCGCTATTGGTGCGTCTAGAAAGGCGCAGAACAGCTGTGCGGGGGCAGCTGGGCTCAGTGGTTAGTTAGCAGCTCATCTGGATGAGCCAGATCAGCAGGAAGCTGTAATATAAACCCCATAATGTGATACCCATCTTCATTTACTGCTGAAACAGGCCCTATTGATAAACAGAATAACATGCCAGCTATGACTAATTGTTTCCTGTTTTAAAAAAGAGAATATCCAATGTATATGTTTTTATTTTTTAAATTATCTGCAGACTCTTCTGTTTCACTACAGCCTGAAGTAAGAGTAGTGCATTAAATATAGCAATGCACACAGTCAAACACAAGGATATACACACACAAAGCATGCAGGTTTTTCTGGGTATGATTAAGGAAGCTGAGGATGAAGGGAGGATTGCGTTTTAACCAGAAGAGCTTTTATGCCACAGCTCCTCCCCTGCCACAGCTCTCAGAACAAAGCTGTTAATGAATTGGTTTTTATTGTGCTGGTAATTGAAACACTGTAAAGCCCAGGGCTGTTTAGATGGTCCAGAATGCCTTTAAATCTGACTTTGAATGGTCCCTATCTGGTCAATATAATGTAATGCTTGGAAAGAACATCTTCCAAGTTTAAATGTCTAAGATATTCACAGGTTATTTGTGAGAGATGTAGTTGAAATGTGTATGGTTTTGTGGCTGCCTTGATACTTCAGTTCTCACTCGTGCCTTCTGCTCATGAGCTGGCTTTGTTAATTGCTTTAGCAGGCCTGAATTAAATGTGCTGTGTGCTACTGTGATTGCACTGCGATAAACCCTTTCCTTTAATGGTATTTACTTGCACTGCACTCCATTTCCCATATTCCTCATGAGGGTTTTATTGTTGTATTTAACTGACCTGTTTCATCTTGTCGTTGTTCTTAACCTTCTCTCAATGGGCACTTACACATGAGCAAAGTGGCTGTCCCCCTCTTTTACCATGCTGTAAGTTCCCAGTGATGTGCATTTTTCTAACTTGCCTTTACTAGTTTACAGCTAATGTGGCATTTTTTCAATGTGTTGTACTGTACTTTCACTCTGATTTACTGTGCTGTACTGTACTTTTACTTTGCTTTACTGAGCTGTACTATACTTTTACTCTGATTTACTGTGCTGTCCCATTCTTTCACTCTGATTTACTGTGCTTTACTGTTCTTTCACTCTGATTTACTGTGCTGTTCCATTCTTTCACTCTGATTTGCTGTGCTGTACTATACTTTTACTCCAATTAACTATGTTGTCCCATGCTTTCACTCTACTTTACTGTGCTGTTCTGTACTTTCACTCTGATTTACTGTGCTGTCCCATTCTTTCACTCTGATTTACTGTGTTAGATGATTGATTTTACTGTGTTGTGCTTTGCTGTGCTTTCCCTTCTTCTCAATCCTACTGTACCATGCTCTCTATTGTTTTGCTAGCTGACTGTGCCAGAGCTCAGCAGTGAGGGGTCCCAGGGTAAACTCATAATGGATTCGTCAGCAAGTAGTGGGATTCAGTTTAAACACAGTGCTCTCTGAACATAAGGAAGCAGTTAAGGACTCAGAGTTCACTGTGATTTAGGGATTTAGTCCTCGGCAGGAAAACCTTTTATGAAAACATACATAGTCACGTGATGGGCCCAGCCTCAGTGCCACTCCACCCAGCACTGAAACTCCTGTAGAGAGGGTGTGCGTCTGCCCTGAGCCATGCGACATCCCGCTGAGTGTCAGTAACATAGAAAGTCTCGGTATACTTTACATGCCAAGAGCTGTTTCACTGTAGCAGTTTTTCAAGTGTTTTCAATTGTTTTTGAAATAATATGGTGGAAATATTATATTGTATGAATATTACTTTTACCGACTTGACATAGTCCAAAGACGATAGAATATCTGGGTAACTTTGTTGTATTGTATTGTCTTACTGTGATTTGTTGTGTGACAACAGGGAGTTCTTTTGGAATTCCACTCAAACATGTCTGGTATATCATAGCTGCTAAAGGGCTTTCCAAATACAAAGTCCACTGGATATACTCATTTTGTGGGAGGATACTTAAAGCCTAAGTTTTCAAATGCTAATATTTTAAAGTTATGCAATATATTCAAAAATATCCACGGAAGGTCTTGCAGGCGTCCTGTAGAATAATACATATGAAATTGTGGAACTGTCCTACAGAATTCAGAATCAGGAATCCACCCCAGGAAAATCCTTTCTTCAAGAAAAATAAAGGATTCCCAAAGAGATCTTGGAGGACACCGAACATATTAAGACATGTCACCTGTGGGATTTATTGCAGGAATCCTGAATTTTGTTATGTGAATGAAAAAAAAAATGCAATCCAAAAAGAGAAGTGTAAAACATTTATAAAGAGTAATTTGGATGACATTTAAAAATTACATGTTTCTAACAGTTCTGGAAAACCAGTCCCTACTGTATGTGCTGATTGTTTCCTTTAATAATCTGTGTGTTTCTTGTCTTTCTAAGTTGTCAGAGTTGTTAAGCAGGCATGATGCTGGTTGGTCACTACTGGGGAAATTAAGAAACGGGAAATAGGGAAATTAAGGCTTGTGTAGGCGTCAGTTGTAAAACATTTATACTATGAGTGCAGCTTTGGGGGCACACCAGCACGCCTGCCTGTCTCGGGAGGACACTTAACAAGCAATGAAATGCTGCTTTTTCTGCTTTATTCTGGTTTGTTGGGCTGGTGTGAAATCACCCCCAATTACTTATTTTTTCATCTAAGAAAACTACGTTTTTATGT